ACTCTCAGCCAGTGATCCCTTCAGATTCTTGACGTGCCATCACTTCCAATTCTCAACCCGTGATCACGGGTTTAATTTCTAGAGACAAGATGTCCAGGCATTTTTAAAAAAGTTTAAACTGCTTCTTTTTATCCATTTAAATCATTTGTATGCAAAGAATGACTTTAATTAATTCGGATCACCCTCAAAGTTTAGGCAGTTGGTTGGGACAGGTCAGGAGTGGAAAGTGAACAAAACTTATTCAATATATTCACAGTGATATTACAGTAAATATCTAAGATATTGTGTAATAATAATAGACCCTTCTCAAGCAGAGGTGTAAATATTAGCATTAAATGACTTCTGGGTTGCACTGTAATGAATGGCTAAGACTGTACTGCCCAGAATCATTGCTGCATTCCTAAATGCACCAGTAATTCAACCAAGCAGCCATACTTCAGCTTCTACACGTTCCCAAGTGATCCTGAAATAAAGAAGAAATGGATTCATGCCATTCACTGAGACGAAGGCCAGTATTTTACAGTTTCAAGAGGCAGCGCTTATGTGAGTAGTCAGCATTTTGCCGAGACTGCTCAAAAATCACAGGAGTCATACCTTCCCTATTTGAGTGGAATGATTGATGATCTGGCCAGTCCAACCAAGTGTATGTGAAAAGATAAATGCCAGACGTCCGTCCAAACCAAGGACCAACCAAAACCAGCCGGTAGAGTGTTATGGACCCACTCCAGCTGACTATTCAGCCGCTCCTCCTTCAGGTAACAGAATCTATAATATAATGCCTTTAACACTGAATGTGTAAAAGTCACTGCTGTGCTTTTAAATGGGACGCAGTGGAAGCCCAGGGTCATACAGCTTTCAAATGTTTTCACATTTTGTGCGACACCCTTCGTTTGCTCTGCACTCGTCTCTTTGTGGACCTTTCTGAAATGACCAACACAACAATTTTGTTTTTAACAGTCAATTTTAATAAAATCTGTTATTGGCCCAAGAAAGAGAATATATAATGGAGATACAGATTAATCTATGCAGACTAATTGATGGGCTTTCTTTTACAGTCTCTTAAGTATGAATGAGGAACGTGTAAAGCACAAAATCCTAAACATCACATTTATTATTCATAATAATACTTATTTTGGGTTACATAATGGTAAGCTGCAGAAGTATCTTCAAGGGTTCTTTAGTAAAGAAAATGGTTCTATGTAGAACCATGAACACCCAAAGAACATGGTTAAAGGATTCTTTGTTGATGTCTAAGTTGATGGACAGTATGCTGTAGATGTTTCTATATAGAACCATTTTGAAACCATTTGTTACAAGCTTGATGTCACAATAGAAGAACCCTTTTCCAAATGGTTTTACATAGAACCTAACAACACTGAATCTGGGCTGTAGAAGAGAGCAGTGGTTCTTACTGTGGTTTTACTGGGTTCTTACTGTTTACTGCAGAAAACTATCTCTGTGTTCTGTTGTGGTTTTACTGCATATAACTTGTTTGCTAATTGGAGACGTTTCTGATTTAGTTTCCTGCTTAACGTGTGAATTTACACTGAAATTTAGTGTGACTATGTTTATACTGAGTCTAAACATATCTTTACTACTAATAACCATATGGTTTACAATTCAAAATGAATTAATCATATATATCCCGCAGCTATCAGCATAGAAACTGAAGTTCATCATATTCTTCTCTTTTTGGTCTAAAATAAAACTCTAAAGCTTAAAATTGAGAAAAGTGATCAACAGTAGGTCCAGGAGCGGAAACAGCACAACAGACTGACATTAAGCCCAAAGAAGAGAATTAGGAGTTTGAATCAGTGGAACGTGTTACTACATACGACTGCGTTCAATCACTAGTACCATCATAATAAACTGGTAGCTTAAACAGAGCTGAAGCTGTGTCTTGACTGATCAGCTACATCTGGAATAATGGGAGGTAAATCAGATGTTTTGCTGAACCATGACTTCTCGGATCTTCTTCTCTGAGTGCTGGTGTTGATGTGAGGTAGAAACGGCCTCCTCGGCTGGAATCGTCTCATTAGGTGTCAGAGCTCTCGCTTCTCTCTGACACTGTAAGAAACATACATTCACACATTGAACTCAGTTCATTCTCAGCAAAAACAAAGTGAGGTTTAAGAAGTGAATTTAAAGCGAGTGCTGAAAGAAATTCAATCAATCAAGAAAGCAAATCAACAATCAGTGAGATTCTGTTCTCAAAAGTTGCTCCAGTGCTAACAGACGACATATAATCACATTATATAAATGGCTAAATCCACCTCCGGTCAAGCATTGGCAGAACAAGTTCCCCACCGACCGTCTCAGCTTTGCTTGATTTTGTGATGCAGCAAAACACATCAAAACACAGAGTATTAACAGTTTTACTGTAAAACTAATGTGGTAAATGTGCTTTTCTGCAGCAGAAGGATCATCGTCTCCACTGCGGTTTAATTTAGTGTTTCAGCCTTGAATTATTTACATGGTAAAGAGCTGCTGAGCTGCATTAATATCTGTGGACCAGAATAAATGCAGCAAGTTTATACTTAGCTAGCAGCAAATGTAGCCTACTATCAGGCTAGTCTAACTAGCCCAACCAGTAGCAACATACAATTTCATTGAAAACTGATGAACTTTTTATTTTGCTGATTTTCATGTTGAATCTCTGCCTTTGTACGTGTCCTTTTTTCTGTAAGTATCTGATTACTTTCATTATTTTAATTACTGTCATTATTAACCCTCTGGGGGTGACGAATGGACACTCATGAAATCAGTAAGGACTGACCATCATGCCGGAAACCCTTCATTCTTCGTACAGTCCACACTGGAGACACATGAGAAATGGCATGCAGAGAGTTTACAGCTGCTGAAGCTGCTGCGGCGGTTTTGGAAAGCAGCGATGAGGAGAACATTCATCTGCTATTTTATTCATACATTCAACTACATTTGTGAACCTGAGACTTTGGTAAACACATTTAGGCACCAGAACAATTCGTTCACATCAGTAAAGCTGTGTTTTCACAATAGTTATTAAGCATTTCTAAAACCTGACTTCAATTTTCCAGCTTTAGGTTGGAATTATCTCTGTGCAGGGTGCTCCAGGTCAAATGGAGCCTCATTGTATTGAGGTTGTTCTGAACATTTTGCGAGAAAAGAGCCTGTCAAAGCTGAGTTTTAGTTTATGAATATGCTAAGTTCAAATTTTTCATAAATTAATTAGTTGATTTATTCAAAATTTCACATAATAAATTAATGCAATTATATGATTTAGATGTTGAAAATTAAGTAAAAATCAAATAAAACGATTTTACCCAAAAGTGGAGGTAGATTTTTCGTTGGATTACTGAATCTTTCTATAAAGAAAAGGTAAAATCTCAGTGAACAGCAGGAAACATTGAGAAAGAACACTAAAATTTTCTGATCAGAGTCTGAAAACTGTTTCATTTGTTATTATTGATATTTGAATTTTGAATATTTTGTAAGGATTTTGATAGATCAGGTCACACCCTGTGTAGAGAAATCAAAAGGTTTGTGCACCACTGGTCAACTCCCATGTTGTTGTTGATTTTCTAAGTGTAAATAAGTTAAAGTTTCTCTACAGAGACACACTACTGCACATTTAATACACAACTACTGTTTATTTGCTGAATTTTACATGTTGGAGAAAAATACTAAAACGTAAACTGCTGGCAGTGCAAAAGTTACGGCACATAGAATTTTTTCATTGTTCCAAAACGTTAAATTCAGCAAATAAAAATTGTGCAGAATTGTGATTTTTCAGTGTGTTCTCTGCAGACCAGGGGTCGTCATCTGGCAAGTTATGGTCCATATGAACACCCTGCCAAGTATTTTAACCTTTTGAGCTGCTTATTTGTTTTATTGATTTTACAAACATTGTCTTTATTTACATATTTATTTTAATACTACAATTATTATTTTATTTTATCAGTTAGCTGGACTGATCATTCTTGTGATATTGTTGTGCTTCACTTATTTTAGTCTGTTTAGTTTATTTATCCGACACTTCAACTTTGGCGTAACTGGAGCTTCACAGGTTTCAGCTGAAACTCCTGCTGTAGATGGCATATAAACTTATTTTCACTTAGAAAATCAGTCTTTATTTTTTCTGAAAACACAAACTTCTGATGTTGCAGTGACCGCTGGGGTGGGTGGGTTTGTGATAAAACGCAGCAGAGCTGAACTCACTCTTAGGTTCTTCTCTCCCTCCTTCGTGATCTTCTCTCTCCAACACTGAAAGAGGGAGAACAGTGATGAACACAGACCTCTAACATCTCTAGAGTGCAGCAGAGTGAAGTTAATCAGCCTGAACACTGACTGTATGTAGTTTACAGGTTTTACGTTCATTTATATCTAAAAATGACCATCGTGACCCAAAGTCAGTTAAACACTGACCAGCAGGAGTTAATATGAAGGTGAAATATTAAATGAATGTTAAACTGTCTGATCAGATTTATGAGTTTAGAGCTGAGGTTCTCAGTCCTGACAACCCAACGCTGCACATTTTTGTGTTTTGTCTCACCTGATTCAACTCATTCACTGTCAGGTGCAACTCCCCGCCTGACCACCGGCGTCCTCCTCTACTGAATACGCCAGTCACACCCCTGCCTCCTATTCCTCCTCATCAGCTTTCCTACAAATACTCTCTCATTCCACTCTGTGAAGCACTGTCCGTGCTGTGATTCTGAGCCTTTTTCTCCTGCTGATTATTTGAATTTGCGGGGTTTTGATCTTGGTGAACTTTTCTGACTTTTGATCTTAGATTGGATATTTTCTGATGCATCTTTTGGACTGTTTTTCTTTTTTTACCATTGTTCCTGTTCCTAAATAAAGTCTGCTTATGGATCCAACAAAGATTAACTAATGAACAAGCGTTGACTGAGTCAGGTTAGCAGAGTAGAGAAAACACATATGCAGATCAAAGGCTGCCTTAGAAACATCATAAGTTAATATTAATATTTAACTGCAACTAAAAAAAGGATGAGAAAATCTTGATATATGAGATCATATCAATACAGACACAAAATAATAATCCAGTCTTAGCTTCCTGTCCAAAAAGGTAAAACCACAGCAGAGCTGAACTCACTGTGAGTGTGAACTGAATCTCCTCCATCCTGATCTTCACTCTTCAGCACTGAAAAAGAGACGATATCATCATCATCATCATCTCCTCTCAATACGGAAATCCAGGGAGGCCATGAGGTAGTTATTATTTTCTGTCTATTTTGGAGATCAAGGCTTTGTCTTGTGATCTGAAAATAACAAAAGATAACAAAAGTTGCTATCTTGAGATCACAAGATAAATAAGTCATGATCTGAAGATAACAACTTAACAGTCATGTGATCTTTAGATAACAAAAGTTGTTATCTTGAGGTCACAATATGAATAACTTGTGATCTCAAGACAACAACCGTCTTGTGATCTCGAGATAACAAATGTTGTGATCTTGAGATCACAAGATAAATAAGTCATGATCCCAAGATACCAACTTAACTGTCTTCTGATCTCAAGGCAACACAGTTGTCATCTTGAGATCACAAAATAAGTCTATTAAGATCAAGATAACAACTTAACTGTCTTGCAATTTCTTGATAACAAGGTTGTTATCTTGAGATCACAACTTAATTATGTTGTGATCTGGAGATAAAAGTTGCTATCTTGAGATCACAAGATGAATAACTTGTGATTTCATAATAACAATTTAACAGTCTTGTGATCTCAAGATAACAAAGTTCTCATTTTGAGATGATGACTGAATCTTGTTATCTTGAGATAACAAAAGTGTTTTTAAAGGTAAGTAAGTGATACTGTAAAGATCCACAATAGAAAAATTATGATTACCAACAAGTGGAATTGCCCTGGGCAGGATTTGGCTCTGCTGCTCTGTGTTAACAAGAAAGAGAATAATAATAATAATAATAATAATAATAATAGAAGGCCAGTCAAAAAGAACTGCTCAGATGTTTTGTAATGATCACTGACTTCATCACTGGATGAGCAGTATGTCTTTTTTGTGCTTATCCATAAAAAAATAACTGATCAGTTCCAATTAATCCAGAACAGCTGCTGAACATCAGTGCATCACATTTGAGCTTCTGAGCAATTCCTTCAGTCTGCTGGTGTAAAAGAACACAAACAGCCTGATTTCTCACCATTCAGATCTTCCCTGTAGGCGGCCTTAACTGCGCGACGTGCATGCTTCCTTCTCAATATCATAAAAAGAACAACAACCACCACAATAACTATACAGACAATTATTACGCATATGATAATTACAGATAACCAGTTTTCCCCTTTTTCCCAATTTCCCTCCTTATCCTTATCCTTATCTTTAGGAAATGCATCAGAGGTGTTCTTTGTAATGTTTGCGTCTTCTATAACATTAAAGACATCCTTCTTCCTTTCTTCCTTCTCCTCATCTCTGTCTTTAGGAAATGTATCCGAGGTGTTTCTTACAATGTCATTGTAAAATCTCAGGTAAATTAATAGTCTGTTCATACACTTTTGCTGCACGTAGTTCTTGAAGATTTGTTTGATATGAGGTAATCTGTCCCATTTTGTTTTAACTGGTAGGAACCGTTTGTCCGTTACTTCCCACTGATCAGTGTGGAAATTGATGTGCAGGATGAGCTTTCCGTTGTGGCTGTAATCAGCCGTAGTGTTCATTAGAGTCACATCTCCACTAGAGGATCTCTCAACCTCACAGCCAAATCTGAGCTCAAAGTGAGTATCAGGGCATTTATCAAAGAATCCCTCACCTGAAATACAAACAAAAAGAGTTTATTCATAGCGTTTTACGCTCAACTCAACACACACATTTATAATGATCCACATATCCCTGATAATAACATACATGGACAGAATTCCTGCATCCAACAGCCGGGTCTCTTTTCAACTTGATCATCTGAACTCAGTCCAGTGTCATCAGAATCTGAAATCCACACAAAAATCACAGCATCATTCCCACATTCCCACGGCCCTGTTATTTACTCAATGGAATAGTAAACATTCCGATATTCCCAAGGCTGTACATTTCCTCAATGAAGTTTTCTAGGAATCATTTCCGGTAATATACAAATGTCTATGAGGACAGTGGCGTGCACAGACCTTGCCGAGGGTGGGGGGCTGAGATGATTCAAATATATACATATATATGTATACACACTTAGGTCTATAAATATATGGACGGTGACCAAGGTATTGTTATTATAGCTGTCTAGTACAGCATATTGGAGTTGAAATTAAATGATGAGTTTCAGCTTAAATATGAGGGCATTTACAAATTAGGTGAACGCTGTAGGAATTACAACCATTTTAGTGATTTCTTGAGTGTCCATTGGTCAGTTTCGCACTAAATGTAAATGGACACACGAATCCACCAGTTCCACACGCTGAGAGGCAGACGACGTGTATCTCAGCCCCTCTTCATAGGCTCATAACTCCGGATGTGAGTCTCGTATGATCTCGCAATAAGATGGTATGGAAAGGTCGACTCTACAGATTCAGGAAGAGTTTGAACTGGATTTCTGTGCTTTATTATTGCAAAGATAGCGAAACATACACTATATTGACAATAATATTGGGACAACCCTATTAATTATTGAGTTCAGGTGTTCAGCCACACACATTGCTAATAGGTGGATAAAATTTGTGATAGACAAACACTGGCAGTAGAATGTGTCATACCTAAGAGCCCAGTGACATGGCACTGTCGTAGATGCCACCTCTGCCAGAAGTCGGTGTGTGAAATTTCTGTCCTGTTAGATCTGCCCTAGACAACTGTAAATGGTATTACGGATAAATGGAAACATCTAAGAGCAACAACAGCTTAGCTGTAAAGCAGCATGAGCAAACTCAGGGGCTGGCAAGTGCTGCAGTGCACAGTGTCTATCCTCTGTTGAATCACTCACTAAAGCATTCCAAATTGCTTCTGGAAGCAACATCAGCAAACGAACTGCACATCAGGAGCTTCATGAAATTGGTTTCCATGGCCTAAAATCAAAATGGTACTGTGGAAACGTATTCTGTGGAGTGACGAATCAGCTTCTCTATCTGTCAGTCTGACGGACGAGTCTGGGTTTGGCGAATGCCAGGAGAACGTTACCTGCCTGACTGCACTGTGCCAGCTGTAAAGTTTGGTGGAGGAGGGATGATGATATGGGGCTGTTTTTCAGGGGTTGGTCTAGAACCCTTAGTTCCAGTGAAGGGAAATCTTAATGCTTCAGCACCAAGACATTCTGGACAATTGTACACTTAAAACTTTGGGGAAGAACCTTTCCTGTTCCAGCATGACTGAGCCCCAGTGCACAAAGCAGCTCCATAAAGGCCTGACTGGGTGAGTTTGGTGTGGAAGAACTTGACTGGCCTTCACAGAGCCCTGACCTCAACCCCATCACACACCTTTGGGATGAACTAGAACGGAGATTGTGAGCCAGACCCTCTCGTCCAGCATCAGTGTCTGACCTCACAAACGCTCTTCTGGATGGATGGACAGAAATTCCCAAATTCGCAAATGGGGAACCAACTATATATTGTTGCCTATAGATTTAGAATGGGACTCACAAAAAGCTCCTGTAGATGTAACGTGTAGGTGTCCCAATACTTTTATCAATGTAGTGTATATAGACATGGACCCAAGAGGGTTAAGCATTTAGAGCTTATCTCAATTTTGAGAAAAAATGGGCAAGGGTTCGAGCCCTGTGGCCCCCCACCTGTGCACTACCTGTCTCTGAGGATGTGTGTCTATGATTTTTTCATATGGTTTAATTCAGCACTGACCATAAGAAGGAACTGCTTGTAGAAGATAGCGGGACATTTGAAAATCAGCCTGAAGTATGTCTGTCACATTCGTCAAACTTGTTTTGAGGCTCCATGCGAAACAAGTCCTGCCTTCGCCATAACAGTAGAATGCTATACCATCAAGCAAGACAACGAACCTAAATTCCCAATTCCCAAATTGTAAAGGGCTGGCGAGAGCAGTGTGGTACAGGGAGTGTATCTCTGTGGGACAGACAAAAAGCACAGACGAGTAAAACAATCACTCAATGGACAAAAAGTGTTCTGAAAAGTGAATTCATTACTTAGTCATTAGGATACCAACTGGTTTAATTTACCACAAGGTCGACTCAGTGTTTCAAACCTCCAAATGGAAAATTGCAGTTATCAAGAAACAAATTTCATGGAGATCATCTGCAACAGGCAAGCGAGGGTGTAATGAGCTGCTGAAACTTTGCTAAGGGAGGGATAACTTTCAATGGAAACACACTTGCTCTCAGCTGGGCTCGCCTCAGTGTGCCAATTAGCTGGTTATGTGTAACATATTTCTTCTGAGTTGTTTAAGTTGTTTTTCAAGTCTGAGTGAATTACTGCTCTGTCTGGCTTATGTTCTGGGCTTAGCCTGAGAACCGCTGTGCACTTCCCTTCTTTTTGTTGTTGTTAGCTGTGGAGCTCTTAGCATGACAAGTAGAAAGCTACATAGTCACCCTATGTTTCCAGAGTCCCATGTTCCCACAGTCCAATGTTCTTAGGACCTCTGGATCCTGTGACTGTAGGAACACTGGAGTCTATGTTCCTAGAGACCTTTGTTCCCACAGTCCTATGTTCCTTCAGTCCTATGTTCCCACAGTTCTATATTCCCACAGTTTTATCTTTTCACAATTCTATATTCTCCCAGTCCCATGTCCCTGCACTGCTTTGTTCCCAGTGATATGTCGAGCAGTCCTACGCTCCCACAGTCCTCTGTTCCCACAATTCCATGTTCTCACAGCCCCATGTCTCCGCAGTCTTGCATCTCTCTAATGTTGCAGTCTCTTGCAGTCTCTAATGTTGCTAGACCCAATGTCCCTGCCTTCACATGATCCCACAATCCTATGTTCCCACAGTGTTATTGTTCCACATTCTTATGTTTCCTTAGTCCTATGCTCTTAGTCTTATGTCCACACAATCTTATATTCCCACAGTCCCATGTCCCCACAATCCTACATTCCCACAGTCCTATATTCCCACAATCCAATGTCCCCACAGTCTTATCTTCCCACAGTCCTATATTCCCGCAATCCAATTTCCCCACAACCTTATGTTCCCACAGTCCTATATTCCCACAGTCCCATGTCCCCACAATCTTATGTTCCGACAGTCCTATATTCCCACATTGCCATGTCCCCACATCCTTATGTTCCCACAGTCCCAAGTCCCCACAATTTTATGTTCCCACAGTCCCATGTCCCCACAGTCCTATATTCCCACATTGCCATGTCCCCACAACCTTATGTTCCCACAGTCCTATATTCCCACAATCCCATGTCCCCACAACCTTATGTTCCCACAGTCCTATATTCCCACAATCCCATGTCCCCACAACCTTATGTTCCCACAGTCCTATATTCCCACAGTCCCATGTCCCCACAATCCTATGTTCCCATAGTCCCATGTCCCCATGATGTTATGTTCCCACTGTCCTATATTCCCACAGTCCCATGTCCCACAATCCCCTGTCCCCACAATCTTATGTTCCCACTGTCCTATATTCCCACATTGCCATGTCCCCACAACCTTATGTTCCCATAGTCCTATGTCCCCATGATCTTATGTTCCCACTGTCCTATATTCCCACAGTCCCATGCTGCCACAGTCCACAGTCATTTGTCTGACAGTCCTGTGCTCCCACAGTTCTATGTCCCTACAGACTGTCTGTAGCAGAATTATCTGAGTGGAAAATGATTCATTGTTGTGCTGCCTTCCAAAAGATCCACACATTGGGCCACTTAAACTCAGCAGTAAGCTAGCCTGCTAATCTCGCCTTGTAGTACATTACCCCAGACTTTTTTAACAGTCTCTGGGGAACCAGTTATTGGTCGTATTCCCCATTAATTTTCCAATAGAGCAACTGGGCTTGCAAATCCCATAACGATAAGAATATTCATATCGGTTAATATGTATTTGACAAAAAATACATTGGCAATGTAACGTATGCTTTGTTATTTTTGTAAATTTATTTTCCACTGAATATTTAATTTTTTTGTAGACAGAAACAACTTTTTCAACATACCTTTGGGAACAATTGATACACTGTGAGCCACCAGGAGCAAAACCAAATATGAGAAAAGTGGCATTATAGCAGCAGTTAAATCCCAGACATTCAGGTTCCACTGCTTCCCTCTTCATCGGAGTCCGTCATGCAGTCTGATGTGTCCCGCCTGTATATGGGAGTGACGCTCTGCAAACACAAGATCAGTTTCAGAGCTCTGTTGCAGACGATGCCTGTGTTTAAAATAACTTACTACATGCTGCTCATCTGATTCTGCCCAAAGTATTTGTTTTCCTGTTATATTACAAAAGGAGTGCAAAACACTAGAGGGCACTAGAGGGTGAATAACAGCTAAAACAGTTAAAAAAAATAAAATAAACTAGTTTTGAACAATTTGTGCTGGACTATTGGAAAGTGGGGCAGGGGAGGGGGCTGCATTACATCAAAAAACTTGGTTAGCATTTCTGCTAATGTTGGTTAACATTACTGCTATTTAAATGTTTTTAACTGTCTTTAGCAGTGCAGGTAGCGCTCTGAGTCAGTGAATGTTGGAGCATCATATATAAATGCATTTCAATAATAACTTATAAAATAGCACAGTAGTTCTCTATAGAGAATGTTTACTTATTCTCACTTAGGAAATCAAACAAAACCTAAATTTGACCAAACCTTTGCAAACATTTCATAAAGTTATGTATTTAACAACAGCAGATATGTACATGAAAATCATCAGATATTGACATGGGCCCAGAATTCCCATATTGGTGCATTCCCACTGTTTATGTCACTATTTCTTACATTTAATAGCAGAATTGAACCCTTAAATTAAAGCTGTCCATGTTCCACTTCCAGTACGCTCTTAGAGAAAAGCCTTACTAGCCCAGACTCCTCTCTCTTTGG